TCAATGCGCGCACTCTAGCAGCCACCAATATTCAGCATTATTGATTCATTCCGATCTAGTAGTTCTATTCGGCTTTCGGAGTTCATACATTGGCTGGGGCAAGGGCAGATTTATGAATCTGATCGACAAAACACCTAAGCCTAATGCCGACCGATGTGTGCCGCAGCCACTCCATGAACTAGTTCTATTCGGCTTTCGGAGTTCATACATTGGCTAGGGCAAGGGCAGATTTATGAATCTAATCGGCAAAACACCTAACCCTAATGCCGACCGATGTGTGCCGCAGCCACTCCATGAACTAGTTCTATTCGGCTTTCGAAGTTCACACATTGGCTGGGGCAAGGGCAGATTTATTAATTTGATCGGTAAAACACCTAAGCCTAATGCCGACCGATGTGTGCTGCAGCCACTCCATGAACTAGTTCTATTTGGCTTGCGGAGTTCATTAGCTGGGGCAAGAGCATATTTATTAATCTGATCGACCAAATACCTAAGCCCCACGAACTAATGATATTCGGCAAGTCTATATGAACGTTTTTCTACCGCGCGAGAGACAATAATAGTTTTACCCAAAATACCAAGAACAAAACAGTAATCTTCATTAATAACTACAATTAAATACAGGAAATAATGCAAGGTAAGGGAAATATTCATTCATAAATTGATTACAGCATAGTCATCATTTTATACATAAAAATTACCCTAAGCAAAATAGTTGTCTACTAAGAAAACAAAACACGATTACAAAAAGATACATTAAAAATACCTAAAGTGATTCCCAAATCAATCCTTGGGATCAGACTCAAGCGACTGAACATCCACTTGCTCGTATGGAATCGACACGTTCAATGTCACTCCAGCGGCAGCAAGGGCTTTGAGTCAGCGATGTTTGAATCCCCGATTCTCGAATTTGGGGACCTTTTCTACATAATATTCAAGAGCGGCGCCCTTCCCAGCCACGAATGCTTCGGAAGCCTCGGAGTCGACTTTTTCCTTCGCCACCTTCGACTCTGCCAACTCGGCCTCCAACTTGGCAAGCGCGTCTTTGGCTAACTTGAGCGATTCCTCATTCGCGTTGGCCCTCTCTTCAGCTTCCGCTCTGAGCTGGTCAGCAGTCCTCGCCCTTTCCGTCTCAGCTTCAGCCTACACACTTTCCATTGTCGCTCTCATCGCCTCAAACTCGACCCTGCTTCGCTGACCCTCCACTTCTGAGTACAAACGGCCAATCCTTTCAACGGCATCATGTTGGCAGCGGCCTAATTCGGCGATCCTTCCGACCATCTGCAAAACAAGTTGGGATCGTCACATACCAAGAAATACCGCATACAAACAAAACCATAACAAGGAGTTAGAATGAAGTTACATACCAGGAGGGCCGACTGGGTAGCTAATGTTTTTGCTGCCAAATCCGGCTTTGCCCGAAAGGTTGCCTTGTCAGCCGGCAATGAGACCGAGGCAGCCAAGCTCAACGCCACAGCAGAATCCTTCAAGGCCGACGCTTTGGAAGAGATCGGCGTGTTTTTTATCTTTGGTTGAACAACGAAGGGAACAACCATATCCGATTCCTCTAAGCGTGGCCGTTTATCGACAGGGATCTCCTCAGAGTTGGCCTCACCCTCGGCGGCACGTTTCTCTCCCTGATCTAAAATCAACCGTTCTTCTAGATTCGGCCGATCGGCCGCCTTTTCCATCTCGGCCACGTCAACGTGAGCTGCTTCTTCTACAACAATAGGTTCGACAGATTCAATCGGGACAAGTCTGGCACGGATGGCCTCGGTTTTCTGTCGGGCAGCCATGCGTTCGGCATTTCTCTTTCTTGCCATCTGCGTGAGATTTTCCCTAGCGATACCCTCAGAATAATTGCCGGGAAGGTCTCCCAAATTTGTAAAAATATTTTCGAAGGCGTCCCCTTGGCCTGATATAGACGGAGGGTCAGACGAGTTCAATCTGACTTCCTCAAAGGCCGAGTTAATAGCTTCGTCAACTTCCGCTGACAACCAGTCCGGGTCCTCAACGATTGGTTCAGCCGCTTGTTCTTCTACGTGTTCAGAATCGGATGTTTCTAAACCAATTTGTCTCAAATTTTTGAAGCTGGGGAAGATGAGGGCTATAAGATGGTTGTCACCTTGCGGGATCGGAATGTTGTCTGCCATCGAGAATGTTGTGTAAGTCGGCTCGTACCGCAGAAGAATGTGAACCTCCCTCCCTTGTTTTGGAAGGTTTGGACGGCCGACGAACTGTAGTGTGGTTTTAATTGCTGCAAGCACAATGTCATCGTCTGAAACTAACACTCTCTTCAAATCGCTACTTGCATAAATAAAACGATTAGATGTGCATAGTGCCGAGTACAGACATGGAAATAACAAAAACAAAAGTGATCTAATCGGCCACCTGGTTCGCCTTTTTGCCTTGGCACAGGTCTAGGCAATCTTCACCTTTACCGAACTCCCAATTGCCGCGGACAACGACCATCACGTCATCGACACGCTTGCCAGAGCTGGCAAGCATGGTCACTAAGTGATGATCAGTATCCTTGGCTCTAAGAAAGTAGTGTCCTAGTTAGCCAGTGGATTTGGCTAGGACATAATAGTGCCGAATGGAAGGTATACCTAAATGAATCCTAAGATGCCGATTTAGCTCTACAATTCCCATTATGATGCGAAAGAAATTCACGTTGGGTTAGGAAGGGATTAGACCCCAGTATCGAAGAACGACCCTCAAAAATGGATGAAGGGGAAAGCGGACTCCGCCCTCAGCAATTGATAGGAGAGGAAAGATGATTGTGCTCTCATCATCCCTCTCCGTATCAGTGGTGCTGTCTTCCAAAAGTGACAGATGGACGTCATCGGGGATGGAAAAATGGCGTCGAAAGCCGGAGATTCAGTCCGCTGAAAGGAGTTCCTTCAGATGTTTTGCCATTTTTTGGCCAGCCCAAGGATTATGGAAAACTAAAAGCAGACGAGGAATCGAGATCAAAAATGAAGAAGAAAACTTACAGCAGACGAAGGGAAAGACGAGAACAAGGAGTTCCAGAAGTCGCGAAGTGAAAGAGTTACACTAGAAGACGAGCCAAATATCTTTGAGTATTCAGAACATATATTTGAAGAGACAATTTCAAATCACATTAAATGGAGGCAGAGTACGAAGGGGCGGGAAATCGTTACAATGACCAAAAAGCGTGTACGCGTTCTGACATGCATTGGGAAGAGAATTAACTGCCGAATTTTTTACTTCCCAGGCTAGAAGCCAAACACGCCGACTAACTGATGCTAGTGGAGTGTTTAGGGGGCAATTGTGGGAGCCGGATTTCCTTGGATCAATAGAGACGAATAGACATGTCCGGTCCATAACATAGCCTCTATTCGGCATCGATCCTAGTTAATTGAAGAGCCGAATAAAGTAGTCGGCATTCGGAGCAACAGAAGAAAGACCGAGTAGAATTACATGTAAAGTATCAGGGGTGGGCCAGGCCCTGAGGCCCAAGAGAATACTATAAATACAAGATCTTCAGTCAGAGAAAGGTATGTGAAAATCATTAAGCTTAACTTGAAATACAAGTAATCCAGAGAGTAAAGACTGACTTGCCCGTCGGAGTGCTAATCCTGGCACCCCCGACCGGAGTGTTAATTCTTTTCAGGTGGCTAGCTGAGGATCACGAGCGTCCCCAGGATCAGAAGAGTATTTCCAAAACCATTTCTCCACAAAAGCACATTGGTTAAATTTGTTTAATTCGAAATAAACTAAAGATTGATCTATTTAAATATTGAACAATTAAGATTGCTTAATTAGAAATAAACTTCTTACCCAAATAATTGTTAACTTTTATTTTATAATCCCACATCGAGAAAAGAAGGGAAAAAGTGAGTTGTTTCACTTATATAAAGTGAACCTTATGTTCTCATTTAATATTATAGTGTTATGCATATTTCAATTTAAAACAGTTTAAATTTTAAAATTAAAATAACATTTAAAAGTTTTAATTAATTAATTTTTGTATAAGTTGGTTGGTCTTTTGACCTAACCGATTAGGTTGAATCATTTTTGATTTGACTGATTCGCCAACTTAGCCACGATCTTACCGATTTTATCAAAAAATATTGGTTAGATTTGTTTGATTCGAAAAAACTAAAAATTGACCTAATTAAATATTAAATTACTAATATTGTTTGATTTGAAATAAACTTCCCATCCGATTAATTGTTAATTTTTATATTACATAATCTCACATCGAAAAAAGAAAGAAAAAGTGATAGACAGTTTAATTAATTAATTTTTGTGTAAGTTAATTGGTCTTTTGATCGATTTTAACGGTTTTATCAGAATATATATATTTTTTTATTTCTAAAATGTATGTTTAAATTTTATGACAAATTTTAACATAGAATAAGCTAAAACTAAAAAATTTATAAAACAAAATTTATTTTTATTTTGTCATAAATATAATTTTTTAATTTATTCTATTTTTTTATTTTTATTAATTAAATTATGACATTTAATTTTTATTATAAATTTAAAATATATAATTAATGACATAATAATTATAATATATATTTTAATAAAATAGTTAAATTTTAATTCATTCTAAATTATTTCTATATTTTTTAAAATAAATTTTATATGATTATTTAATTTAAATTTTATTTTTAATTATTTATTTAGTCCGTGCATTGCCACGTTCGTATGCTAGTCCTCAAAAGCAAAAGGCTCATGTTATTGAGACGTGGCAACATATCATCCGCTGGACAATATTCTTTGAATCTTTTGTTTCTCCTCGGTAACACCGTAAAAAGTAATGTTATAGGAGATTTTTTTTGAGTATTTTTTGATAAGCTCGGCTCGACATAGCTCGTTTACAAACGAACGAGCTCGAGCTCGAACACACAAACAAATTAAACTATGAACAGCCCAAACAAATCTTTCAATCTTGAAAATAAAATAAAATAAATCAATAACAGCATCCTAATCTTGAAAATAAAATAACAACAGCCCAATCTTGAAAATAAAATAAAACATCCTCATGCAACAATAAATCAATAACAACAACCCAAACAAATCTGTCAATCTTGAAAATCAAATAAAACATCCTAATGCAACAATTGATACATCCTAATAACTAATCTATCAATCTTCCTTCTCTTTCTCTTCGTCAACATCCTCAACCTTTCCTTCCTCGTCTTTTTTCTCTTCCTCATCCTCGTCATCAGAAATTTCCTTCTCTATAGTCTTCTCAATCCAGAGAGAGATTGGGTAACTAATGAATTCATAATGCTTCTTAACCAAGTCCTTGAGACGTCGTTCCTCAAGGTACTCAAGCTGGTCTTCTTTAAGATTGTTCACCAAATCTGCAGCCACTAAATTTAGATTTAGAGACAACATAAAAATCCCAACAAACCATACATATATGCAGGTAATATGTAGGTAATATGTTTATTTATGCAAAAAATAAATAAATAAAGAAGTTATGAGTCTGACCAGTAATTATTGTATATGCAGATACACAAAGCACAATGGAGAGTTATGAGTCTGACCAGTAATTATTGAATGCAATGGCAACTTTCATAGGACATTTTCATGCATATCATTTCAGCTCAAGTAATACATCTTGCTAACAGCATTGAAAGGAGCTCAATGAACAACAAGAATCCATGTTCAAGAATCACAAATAAAATAGAGATCTTCTACCTAAGAGAATGAAGATCAGGATGTATGTGAGCTTCATCTGATGTTACTTGAGCTTTAAGTGCCATGAGAATAGCTTGCTGCTTAGCATTCTCAACTTGAGCTTCTACCCACTGTCTTTCACTCGTTCCAAATCTGTCACAGTATTGAACAAGCATAAACCTTTTTTTATAAGTATTGGACATCTACAAACTATATAGCCAGATAAACAATTATCACAAAGTTATAAAAGAAGCATGTTCAAAAATGTAGGTGTCTTGTTTAAGAAACAACTTCTGACAAAAAAATTATTGAACCTGATTGCATAATATACTGAAGAACTAGACATTCTCACGATAATGTTTCAAAAGTAGGATCAATCTAACATATCTCATTGTCATGTGCATAATAATAACACAGGTGACAGAGAGAGGAGACGGAGGGCTCTGTCACAATTTAATTGATAACAAAAAAAAAATCCCAACAGAACAAGATATTCAAATTATATCACTCACCCCACAGCAAAAACATCCTCAATGATCAAAATGTGAAAAATAGAATACTAGAGATGTCATACAAGGACATATCAAATTCATCAAATTCAATTTTTTCTTTATAGAAGGTAAACTAGAGAAAGAGGGAAGATGGATACATATTGGAAAAAAAAAATTTGAATGGCAAAAAAAAAAAAGTTGGGTTGATTATAGAAGATGGTCACATCTCACAGCAAGAACCAAACAAAACCTCTTCAGAGAACCAGATCATAGTTATCATTGACCTTGGCTAATATTTTTTCCTTCTACAGATAAATACCACCTGCACATCTCTTTCCTAATTAAAACTTGAAAAAGCCATATTCATCTAGATTATAACCTCCTTCAAAATCCCATAAACATTAAAACCAAACAATTAAAATGCAAAGAACCAAAAATTTTAAAAAGTTGCATTAGTAAAATTACATACATAGAGCGAAGCCGTTGCAATTCAGATACACGTTGATGATGTGACTTCTCTAAATCTGCTGCATCAGTAAAGGGAGAATGATAAGTCAAAAATTCCTGCTTTATTTTATTATAAGTAGACTTGATAATATATGGCCTATACAAATTGAAATTGTCCGGACATGTATATGTGGGTTGGTTTGTGTCAATGCCTACAAATTGACAAGAGGATTTCTCAAAGTCTGCCAAGCTGGAGAAACAAATATAACCAAAAGAAAATATGTTTTTTTTGTGTGTACTTATTTGGATTAAACTACCTACCCATTGCAGAAGTGAAAATAGGTAGTGGTTGTGTACAAGAGCAAAGTGGGTATGTCCAGCTTTACAGGACTCTGACTGGGTGCTAAACTTCTTCCATGAAATTCTCTGATATTAGAACAACAAAATGAGGATTTTTAACATTATTGTTAATAATAACAATAATAATAACAATAATCAACATGTAAGAGAGAGAGAGAGAGAGAGAGAGAGAGAGAGTTACAACGGAGGAATTGCTAATGAGTTCACGGAGAAAGATCTCTTTATTGCTGTAGAAAGTGTTGATGATGAGACTCAACAACTGGTTGATCTCTTTAGAAAATTATGCCTATTATATTATAATTCGTTTCCTAAAGGGCCTATCAAAGTACAAAAATAAAATAAAACATTCTAATGGAACAATAAATCAATAACATAAACAACACAATCTGCAAACAGACCATTCAATTGCAATAACTATTATAGCAATCTACAAACAAACCATTCAAACTTTAAAACTAAACTAATAAAAACATAGAACTTCCATATCCCAACTCCAATATATAAAATTACATCACTTTAAAAAAAAACAAGAGTCTTGCAAGTTCCTCTTAGTAAGCAAAAAGAGAGACTGAAACTATTTGAGGATGTCTTCACTTGAATCAAGCTCCAAAAGTTCCAAAAGTTTCCTTCAATTTTGTTGATAAAGCTCCAAAAATCTAGTTCATTTGATAAAGATTAATATTAGTGTAAAATCTTAAAATAATTAGCATGAACAACTCTTGCATTTAATGAAAAAAATTAAAAACATTAAACATACCTTGTCAAGATGTCATAATTACAAGGAAGAAACCATTAAGGCAGCAAAATCTCTTTAAAAGATGGCTCGCCAACCTATGAGAAGAAGAAAAAAAATTAATTTCATCTATTTTTTTTCTTCTACTTTTCACATAAATTGATTATTAGAAGGGACTTTAATTTTATAGGATAAAAGATTATACTTACATCCGGTGTCTTTTTCAGTCCATGTAATGCACGTACCCAATCAGCTCCACACAACAATATTTGGACAGTTTCTGTTGACAATGGCGCACAATAAGGATCAATGACTCTACCACCTGCACTAAATGTAGACTCCGAAGCTACTGAAGTGATAGGAATCGATAATATATCACACGCCATTTTAGACAATATACGAAACTTCAGATTATTCACTTCCCACCACTCTAATGCATCAAAACAGGAATCTGAATCTTTGTTACAAATATAAACTCCTTTTTCTAAATAAATGTCCAAGTCAGATTTCACAGGTTGAATGGTGTCAAATTTTCTAACGAAAGATTCAAATTTCGATTTTCCAGTTACAACAGATTTTCCCACACCTTGCATAGAACTACTTGAACCAGTTGCTCGTGTGTTGTGCAAAAAACTTTTCTCAGTATTTGATGAGGTGTCAATAGAAACATACTCATTGTAAAGCTCATATAGAGCCTCACGAACCATAGAGATGTTTCTAGTAGCTTCAGCTTCTGGGTAGATCTCTGGAAAACAAAAATCAATAAGAATCATTTTGTATCTTGGATCTAAAACAGTAGCCATAGCCATCAATAAATTGCATTCACCCCAATACTTGTCAAATTTGACCTTCATCTTCAAAGTCATTGCTCGAATGTATTCATTGTCATCCACTGATTTCTCATTCAATATCTCTTTTATTCTCCACACCTCTGTAAGGAACAAATTAGAAGTTGGATAGTCACTTCCATAAATGATATTTGTAACTTCATTGAAAATTGCCAAAAATTGACACACATTCTCAACTTTTATCCAATCTTGAAGGCTAGGCACATAAATAAAACCCAAATCCCTCTCTTGGTACCTAGGGAAGACATCTTTAAACTCCAATGCAGTAGCCATCATCATATATGCTCCATTCCATCGTGTAGGACAATCCAAAATCAATTTCTTTGAAGGCAATTGCAACTGCTTAACAATTTCATTAAATTGAAGAAGACGAGCTTCTGATGCAACCAAATACTTCACACCTTCACGAACACCATCAACAATATCTCCAATTTCACTAAGGCCATATTGCACCATGATATTGAGGATATGTGCACAACAACGAACGTGAAAAAGTTTTCCGCCTAATGGTAATTTCTTCTTCATGGAAAAGTTTTCTTTCAAGACCCTCAAAGCAACGTCATTGTATGAAGCATTGTCAACTGTAACAGTAGCCACCTTGTTTTCAATTCCCCATTCAACTAAACATTTGTGAAGAGCATCAGCAATGACAACACCGATGTGCGGAGGTGGTACATTACAAAAGTTGAGGACACGCTTTTGTAATTGCCAGTCATCGTCTACAAAATGAGCTGTAATGACCATATATTGGATTTTTTGCCCCGACTTCCACAAATCTATTGTGATACTGATTCTGTTAACATTCTTCATCAATGCTTTCAACTTCTTCTTCTGAATGTCATAGGTTGTGTAGAAATTTAATGTATAAAGAGAAAAAGAGAATTGTATTATTGATTGATGTTTGTAATTGTTGAATTATTGAATGCTACAATGATTCCTATATATAGAAGAGTAGGTGGTAGTAGGTGGTAGATGGAGTAGGTAAAGTGGAGGTGGTAGGTGGAGTAGGTGAAGTGGAGGTGGTAGTGGTGTAGTGGGTTAGGTTTAGTGGAGTAGGTTTAAGTGGGTGAAGGTTTAGTGGAGTAGGTGAGGTGGTAGTGGTGTAGTGGGTTAGGTTTAGTGGAGTAGGGACCCATGAAGGAGCTAACCGGAATCAATGTCGGGACAGTTTACAGAGTCTTGTCGGACTCATGAAGGAGCTAACCGGAATCAATGTCGTGTCAGACCGTTGTAGAAGACCGATGTAGAAGACAGTTTATGGGGTCATGTCAGACCGTTGTAGAAGACAGTTTACGGAGTCTTGCCGAACCCTTGTAGAAACTAACCGGAATCAATGTCGGGACAGTTTACAGAGTCTTGTCGGACCCATGTAGAAACTAACCGGAATCAATGTCGGGACAGTTTACAGAGTCTTGTCGGACCCATGAAGGAGCTAACCGGAATCAATGTCGGGACAGTTTACAAAGTCTTGTCGGACCCATGAAGGAGCTAACCGGAATCAATGTCGGGACAGTTTACAGAGTCTTATCGGACCCATGAAGAAAAAAAAACTTACCAAATACTTAGAAGGCAGATGAAGACAAGGAAAATGCTCCAAAATCAAGGGAAAAACAACAGACGATTGCAGCAAAGCCGACCACGAAAACCCTAGGGAAGAGAGAGAGAGAGAGAAAAAATGAACAAAAAAGACATCCCTTTAGAATTTGAACTGTGACAGGTCGCTTAAGCGAAGACTTTCTCGCTCGAGCGAGGTCAATAATGCACAAGGGTTCGCTCGAGCCAAACACTAGTCGCTCGAGCCAAAAAACACACGCTCTCAAGTCTAACGCAGTAGCAAAAGCACGCTCGAGCGAGGAATCCGTCTCTCGAGCCACGAAGAAAAAAACAAAACCCCAAGAAAAAAAACATTTTTTTTTTTTTGGAAAAAAAAAAATCAAAATACTC